TTCAAGAAGGCTTAAGAAGGCTCAATTTATCTTGGTTTCAAATAAGTAATAATTTTATGCTGAGAAAAAAAAATAAAAAATCCTTTAGCAGAACAAATTACCTGAACAAAAACAGAAGTGTAAACATGCTTAGCCTAAAAAATGGCATAATCTAAAATAGTGCTCTTCAAACTTTAGCCTGCAGACACATAAATTGGGATTTTTTTTAAATGCATTCTGATTGGGAGGTTTAATTTTGTGCCAACTTGACTGAGTTAAGGAATGCTCAGATCACTGGTAATACAATTCTGACTGTGTCTTTGAGGGTGTTTCTGGAAGAGTTTACATTTGCACTGGTAGACTGAGTAAAGATAAGGCCAACATGAGTAGGCCTTATCAAACCTATTGAGGTACGGAACAAAACAAAAAGGAGGACAAAGGATGATACTCTAGGTTCTCAGGCTTTTGGACTCAGATTAAGAATTACACCTTCAGCTTCCCTTGTTCTCAAGTCTTCAGACCTAGTCTGAATCATACCACCAGAGTTCCTGTTTCTCCAGTTTATACAAGGAAGTCATAGAATTTCTTTGTCCTTAATCATGAAATCATCATGTGAGCCATATCTTATAATAAATCTGTCTCTTGATAGACGTATGTATATATGTATATATGGATGGATGGATGGATGAATGGATGGATGAATGGAGAGATAAGTAGATTATTAGCTTAAGTAGATTATTCTACTGGTTAAGCTTCTTTAGAAAAGACTGACTATCACATGTGTTGAACAATTTGGGGAGAGTCTACATTTCTACAATCCATCTGTTGAGGCATATTCCACTGATTCTCTGACCCCATTTTGAGTTTTGAGTTTTGAAGAGTGATCTTCAAAATGTACACTGAGACTGTTTCCATAAAAATTGCCTGCATTCTGGAAATTTTAGATTTCCAGAACATCACTGGTGTATCAAATTAGATTGATAAGAGGAAAATATCCATGTTCACCACATAATTACCATATGGTTCTCATGCATATTAAATTGAAAATCATTAGGGTTGGGAGTTCAGAGACTGCAGGAAATGTCTAGAGAGTGATTCCACCAGAATGATAAATTAAAAGATCTTAAATTCATTATTCAGGAGTTTAAATTTTATTTTATAGGCAATTGGTGACAATACCAAGTTTTAAACAGAACATTGACATCATAAATTTATGTCTTACACAGATTGTTCTGTAAGAAATGTAAAAGTAGATGGCAGCAAAACAGAACATCTCCTATAAACTTTTCCTACTGACAAGTCAAATCTACAAAACAAAGTATATGATACAACAATTCTCAGGTACTGAACAACATAAGCAAAGAACCATAATCTGTGAGACAAGGGTAAGATACAGTGTGCATCCTAAAGTATACCATGACTGTCTTGGCTTTCCACCTGATATATTTCTCTGACAAAGAGTCTAAGATGGAAGGGCACAAAACATAAGATCTCACACTTAATAGTGGAGATTATAGTTTTGATATTGTGAAATGACTGTGATTTGCAGTACTGGATAACTGATAAGAAGAAAATAAAAAACTCCATAGAGAAAGGATTGCAGAAGTCTTCAGGGAGATTTACCATGGGTCTTCGACTTGAGCTTCTCAGGCATAGAGAAAGGCTATGATCTAGAAGAGATCATGAAAACTCATGACTCAAAGGTGAATGGTAATGATACTGGAGTTCAGGCAGGATTGAGATTTGGGGGTCCTAGTAAGTCAGAATGGGGAGATTGGTCCAAGTAATTTGGGCATTCAGGTGACATACAAAGAAGCCATGTATTATGTAAGAATAAGGACCATGTCCAAAAGTAAAGATCATATCCCAGAAAAAGAATGCCAAGGGGCTAAGTTAAAAACTGAAATAGACTCATTCTAATAAAAAAGTCAAACTAGGGTGAGTAGATCAAATGTGTTCTGCAAATGTACAACCACATACCAAAAACAAAATAGTAAATAAATAAATAACTCAACATCCTTTAAAGGAAGATGAATATTATCTGTAACAGTGTACATTAGTCTAGTGTACAATAAAATTAATAAATGAAGCAGAACAATGTGATAATTAGTCAATTTTAAAAGCATTCAACAGAAACAAACCCTAAACTAGTCCATGTGTGGAAAAAAATGATAGGCGTTTACATTAGTCATTTAAAGTATTGTTTAAATAAATAAATTTAAAGAAAAAATATGGAAGGACAGTGGAGAGAATTGGTTATAAAAGGTCAAGTGGAAAGTTTTGGGTGTGATAGAAATATTCTATATCATATTTGTGATAATTATTGTATGATTAGGTATATTTTTAAAAATTATCAATTATATACTTGAAATTTCAAATTTTATGTGCATATACTATACCTCAATAAACATAAATCCTGTAAAAACAATCCATTTGGCATTAAAATACTGAGCATTTGTTCTACTATAATTAAACAGAGGTTATGCCATTGGTGAAAAAAGAAAGAAATTTCAAATGTGCAGCAGACCTAGCATGTCAGAGTATGTAAGATATACAATGAAAAGAAGTATTTCTGTGACTACCAAAAAAGTGGTGAGAGTTACGTTGTTTATTTTGAGTGCTATGAACAAAGTAAAGTTCAACTGCAATATTTTAAAAAAATTAAAGAAATATGTGTTAATAATGTCTGCTCTGTAAGCATCAAAAACATTAAAACCAAGAAAGACAAGATAGGCTGAGAAACACTTTCTCACTAAAGATTATAGAAATAAGAACACTAAAAATGCATGATTCTGGATGGAATCCTAGGCCAGACCAAAAAAGAAAAAAAAAAGTATAAATCATGCAATATAGACAATTGGTCAAATTTGAATTTGTTATAGAGATGGTAGTATCCCATGTATATTAAATTTTCTGATTGTATATATTGGAGTTATATTAGTGACTTGTTCTTAGTAAATAAAGTTTAAAGTACTTTGTAGAAATAGGGCAATTACTTTCAAATGGCTCAGAAAAAAACTGAAAAATAATGGAAATGAGACAAAACATAAACAGTTAACCTGGATAATGTGTATACAGGAGTTTCTTGCAGCATTCTTAAATTCTTTTAAGTTTGAAATAATGTTAAAATAAAAATTTATTAGAAATTTATGAGGGAAATGGAGTCTAAAATGATAATTGCAATAGTTCAGTCAAGGAAAAATTAGAGCTGCATTTAATGCATTGGTAGGGTACTTTATGTCATTTTTGTATTTAGAGTGAATGGTAACTTTAATTTGTTTATTACAGATGAATAAGGAATAAGCAGAGTGATCAAGCCTTTTATTATGGTCTTTTAAGATGCTTTGCCTACTTTGTTTCCTAAGAATCTAAATTCATGTAAACTTGCTATGAAAAAGTTATAGTCCATGTACCTTTCTGAAACATACAAGGAAACATAAGAAATAGAGCAAAGAGAACTCTAAAAATGGAAATTCAGTTTTGATAAACAAGAGGAAGAAATATATTCTCGAAACATGGTAACTCTAAATCATTTAGAAGCTAGTTGTAAGCTAGTGTCATGCTAAATCTTAGCAAAATGAACTAATATAGAAAGAATTTCCCAGACAGACTCAAAATTCATGGTTTCAGAAATTGCCTTGGTTATCCATCATCAACTTCCCCTTCCTCAGAGTTCTTTTACTTTTACCGCCTGCCTTTTAGCTGAAAAGTCAACGTATGATGCTACTTCATATATTTTGAACTCAGCCTCCATTTGAGTTTAGGAGTAATGAGTATTAAAGACAATTTAGCACTTAACCATGGCTTTCACCTATAAGGAATCAGAATGGACAAAGATTGATTTGGTATAAAAAGAGACCATCAGCTTTAGAGTATTTGCACTATGAACCATAGGAATATATGAACTGAATCATGGAAAACTGTGGCCCTCTTCCCACACAATGATAAACTCTCAAGAGATTAGGAAGGGTACAGGGAAGAGGGTTCCCAATATAAGCAAGTAGTTGTCCCACCTCCCAGACCCTAGCTACACAAAGGTGAAACAAAATCCTGCCACAGATTCACATGAAACTGAGAAAGAACAAAATATGTAATATAACAATGAAAGGTTAGAAGTTGAGTCAGCTATACTATATTCTAAACTATATAGTATATATAGTACAATATATACTATAGTATAGCTGAGTTAACTAAACAGTAATCTGATATTCCAGATATGTAATTTTAATGTTCAATTCATTTTTTTCTGTAATATAAACTCCAATATACATCCTACAAATTTATTTCAATAGCTAAAGAAATAACATAAGCAGTATATTTAGCTCGTAAGTACAGCTAAGCACACATTGTTACTATGATTAGAGAATCACAATTTATTTTAAATAATTTTTATATCACATAAATTTATATTTATGATAACTTCAATGGGAATTCCAATGCACAATATCCCACTTATTACAATTCATTTTCATGTTTATTCTTATATCTGGTATTGAGATTTGATTGGAACAAGGGCTCAATTGAGAGGAAACAAACAATTAAAGCAAAAGCAAGAAAAAAATAAAAGAAACTAAAGGGAGCTCTAGAGACACTTTATTAAGGAAATCTTTCAGAAAAGAAATGAAGCTTCAATCATAATCAAATGCAACCTCATCTCTCTCTGTACAGAGGTAGCTTGGTATACTGGTGAGGAGCTCTGTGTGGGAACTAGATGGTCTGGTCTTAGACCCTGGCTAACCACTAGCTAGCCATGTTCCCTTGGGGATAATAACTATATTGACTTGCAGAGTTCTTGTGAGAATTAAATGGGTTAAACACAGAAAGCCTTAAAAGTAGTATGTGTCTAGTGTATAAAGGATATTTACTCAAAAAAGAAAAGGAAGTCAATTCAGTAATGTGATGCCTCTGTCACTCTAAAAGTTTTTCATGATTAATATTTGCTCCTCCTCCCCCAAAACAGCCTAAAAATACCCACCATCTTTGGTTCTAATACAGTACTAATGGGAATGAAAATTTCATACCTTGTAAACTGCCAAATGCAATGCTGTAAATCCATTTCTTGTCAGTCGAGATGGGCGGAGCCCTTTTAACATAAGGGTTTGAATATGTGACTTGTTGCCTTTGAAAAAAAATAAAGGCTGAATCATTGGGGGTGAACTAAGTAGCTTTAAAATCTCTCTTTGACTTAATGATAAATGCCACTCTGATGTATGAAAATGTCAGGCTGCTGTTCATAGGCCATTTATGAAGTTTTCTATTAATTGACAGCTTAAAAGTGAACTTTTCTAATATACCTATAAAAGTTTAAAAATTTTTATATTTGTATAGTTTTATATTAATGCTGTAACTCATGCATTTTTAATCTAGTGCTTCCATCATTAGATGACTTTAAAATAAAACATTATGAACAAATGTAAGTTCATAATTCTCAAGAAAGCTTGGATGAAAATCTAGAAGATTTGTCAGAACATCATGAGTAGTAGAGTTTATTTAGATCAAGAAAATACGGAGGGTATGACCAAACTTGGGTAGCCATGTTTAAATTTGTGAGAATAATATACTAAGTACACACTGTTTAGTTTGTTTGGGAGGAATGGTTAAGGAATATGGTTACATTTGATGTTTATACATTATGTTTCTATAAAAAAATCTGATTTCAATGAATTTAATTTGGGTTAACAAAGTAATTATTCACTAGTCATTTGTCAATTCAATAAATTTATTGACTGACTACCATATGTTAGACACCATTCAAGGTGTGTGGGATACATTAATAAAAGAGAAAATAAACTAAATTTAATCTTAATCTTAATTTTGACTGATCTTCTCTTTTAGAGTTTATCTTGGACATTTGTTAATTTTCATATACTTTCGTTGATTATTGATAAGCAACTACTTGATGATATTTTGGGAAATATTTTGGGTACTTCAGAATTTAACCTAACTCCTGACTGGCAAGCCCAATTTTTAAAAGTAATTTCTGATTGTCAAGCACACTAAGTGACTTGGTTTAGGATAAGGAAAACATTGAAACTTGAAATCAGAGTTAAATTAAGTGAAATAACTGCTTGGTATCTATGCTTCAATCAAAGGTTATCAGGTTTGGAAGGAAGGCAAAGCTAAAGAGAACATTAAGTATAAATAGAATTTTCTTGTGGACTATTAGGCAGCTCAAATTACTGATTGTATATACATATACCCAAGTTAAAAAGCAAATTTCAAGTACTCACTCCCACAAATGCAGCATAAATATAGTAGTGACAGGCCATTTTCAGTGCGGTAATTTAAATTGACTTTATTGAAGGCTTCATCAGAGCTGAAAAATACATTATAAATGATTACAAAATTCATCTTTTAGTATATTTTCTTTCACTTGAAAATTATAAAAGGTAATCTTGTTACTAAAAACTCAGGATTATATTTTCCAAAATCATTTTGTATTTAGAGAAAGAATTCTTAACTATCTATATGAAGAATTAAAATTGAGAGAAAGTGATATTAAAAGTTCAGGACATCTCATGCACAGATCTGTGTTCTATATATAATTTAAACTTTTCAGGGCAACTTGATAAATGAAAAAATTATGTGTAAGTATAAAATATAGATATCTGGAAATAAACTCATTTTTCCCACACTCAAAATTTCACATTATATCTTTGGAGAAACTCGGAAAATAAATAAATAAATTAGAAAAAGAAAGAAAGAGAAAGGGAGGGAGGAGGAAAGAAGAAAGAAGGAAAAGTAGTACTTTGTATTTGAAAAGAAATTTGAGAAAAGGATATAATTCAAATGTATTACAACTTTTGCCTGGAGCAAAGTTTTCTTGAACTCTGACTGGATCAGATTCCATTGATAAAGAAGGTCTAAACTCTGGTAAGTACTGTGATAGAGTATCAGGTGAGAAGAACAATGATTTCATTAATGAATTCCTCCCTTTGTCTGAAAAAAGACCATTGCCCCAGGAAGGCCCTGGAGAGCCATCAGTAGCTTTTCAAAAGGAATGTAAAGCTACAATTCTTGACCTCTTGAGGTCATTGGTACTCCCAGGACAATTTTAAGTGAAATGAGATCATATTCTTAGCCTCACAGGTCAATTTCAAGCTGCCTTCTACCTATTCAAATCTCCAACAGCTTTAGAGAGACAGTAAAGTCTTTGGTGGAGGAGCCTAGGACTCTTATCATTTCTAAAGTACTTATACATGAAAGGCACTATGAATTCAGAACATTATCATCAAGGCACCCAGTTAGGAACATCAAAAGGTATTGGAATTTTAAAATAGAAAAGAGAAAAGTGTGATTCTCCAGAGTACTGCCAAAAAAGAGAGAGAAAGGGGGGGGGGAGGGAGGGAGGGAGGGAGAAAAGAGAGAGAGAGAGAGAGAGAGAGAGAGAGAGAGAGAGAGAGAGAAAGCCTCCAAATCTAAGGTAATTGAAGGAACTCAGTGAAATGCTTTAATTAGCAATGGCAAACCCAGTGTTTGTTTTCATAGACATGGTAATATTCTTTCTTCTTCCCTTCTTGCTTTCAATGTTTAACTTCTCAGCAGTAAAGTCCACTGACTTATTTATATCGGAAAAACACTGGAAATGCATTTAGCTCACAGAGGCCTGAGGTTCTGACTTCAAATAGTACAGGTGTTCTGCAGACCTGAACTCCACTCTTCAAGCTAGGCGGACTGGAGTTTTCTCTTTGCGTTTGTAGGAAATCAGTGTCCATAAATACAAAGGGAAAGAAGACTATCATCAGGTCACTGAGGACAAAGATTCAGAGGCTCTGAGCTGCTCTGGCATTTCTTTCTTGGTCCGTCTCTTATCCATCAAATGAAACACACAACAAGCTCACACAAGACAGGAAACAAATTGCTGGGGTGAGGAACAGAGGGAGGCCTCTGTTAATGTAAAGAACTATATAACCTGCAGCCTAGGAGCAAAACAAGAAAGAATGCCCTTTCTGTTGAGTTGACCATAATGAACTTAATGACAAATACTAAAAGAATAAAAAGGTTTGGATCTCCTTGTGTAGAAAAAAAGTGTTCTGAAAAAGTCAGTTTTTCAATGTGTATCAACATTATATGGCAATACTTGCCATTTTTTGGTTTGTTTTCAAATTGCAAAGGAAGTTCATGTCAATGATATAGTCAATATTTAAAGGCTTGGTCTTCTTAGTTATCCTACAGGGCTGGTGCCTTTCAAGAAACTGAGGCAGCATACCCATCCTTCAAACCCCAATTCTTGCCATTAAGTCAGAAAGATTTCACATGTTGTTCAGAGTAACAGATATAAATTTATTGGAGGTATAGCAAAAGGGAAATGGGACACTCTCAAAGGAAAGAGTTAATCCTCTCAAAGAAGAGAGGGACCGTATGCCTCTCCTGTACTCCAGTATTATTGGGGAGCCCAGAGAAGTTTCCAGAGAATCTCAGTGAGAGAAATAGAAAGTCTGGTGGTTCATTTTCAGAATATAGTCTTAATTGGATCCAATTATAGCTATTTTAATTATAGTCCTTCCCTTTTCCTGGTCTTATTTTAAAATTAGCCAATTGTGTAGATTGTACCCCTGAGCTCCTCCAATCAGGGCAAAGGGCAGCACTGTTAGGGATATAAACAGCAAATACCTCCTTAAAAACTCTCTGCTCCCCCTTAGGGGCAGAATCACAGCTTCAGGGACAGGAGGTCCCTGTATTTCTCCTTTGCTAGCAAAACAATATTTTTTTTTCCTGTTTCTCAAAACAGTGTCCTCATTATTGTATTGGCATCAGTATCAGGGACAAGTACTGAGTTTTCAGTAACATCATTGACATTTTTTCAGACCTGCATTTCTCCTGCAGATAACAGGTAGTTTGCTAAGGAATGTGACGTATCCTGTTCACTTAAGCCACCATGGCTCTAGGTAAATTGCTTCTTGGAAAAGAAAGTATGTGGGGGTCAGCACAGTGGGCTTATTTTATAGAATTATTTTCTTAGCCTCATGCTCCCACTATTCTCATCTGTCTGTCCCCTATTAATTACATTCTAATCCTATCCTGATTTGTATTTATAATTTGGGCAACTTATTTAACCTCTTCAAGCTGCATTTTCTTCAATTATAGAATAAGTAAAATGATACATAATGATATTGTGTTGTTGTAAGGAATAAATGAGGTTAAGTATTTACTACAGTGTCTGGCATATGATGTGTAATAAAAAATGATTAGTGTATTGGTGTTACTATTGTTACCAATTTCACGTGAATGTACAACTTTAGTTTTGAAGGATAAATCTCAGAAGTCTTTTATCACAAATTTTTATACCAATTTGACCTTTCACATTTAATAATTTATAAAATTTTCTGATTTTCTCAATCAGTTCTATTTATATAAGTATTTTATGCTCACAGTGACTCTTAGGCTCATAAAAAGTGTCTGATTTTGACTTTTCTAAAGAACCCACTGAGTTCACTATTGTTGCATCCAGCACCTGTCAGTAATTCAGGAGCAACTTTTGGAGTCACAGTGTTGTAATACAAATTTGGAAACCTCATTCAGAAAATGTGGTATATATACACAATGGAATATTACTCAGCTATAAAGAAGAGAGAAATTATGGCATTTTCTGGTAAATGGATGGAACTGGAGGCTATCATACTAAATAAAATAAGCCAATCCCCAAAAAACAAAGGCCAAATGTTCTCTCTGATGTACAAATGCTAACACACAATAGGTGAGAGGGGATAGAAGTTCATTGGATTAGACAAAGAGGAATGAAGGGAAGGGAGGGGTGATGGAAATAGGAAAGACAGAATGAATCAAAACATAACTTTTCTATGTTCATATATGAATACACAACAATGTAACTCCACATCATGTAAAACCACAGAATAGAAGTTATACTCCATGCATTTATAATATGTCAAAATACACTCTACTGTCATGTATATCTAAAAAAATAAAAATAAAAAATATTTTGACTGGAAAAAAATGTAATACTTATTAGAAATAAGTTGTCACAGACAACAGTATTTTGAAACATATCCTCCATCCTAGAACAAGAGTCACCTCATAATCACAGTATTCTAGCATCACAAGAAAGGAAATTGCCCTCTAGGACTAAAATCCTGAAAACTCCTCATCTGTAAGAAGGTGACATCCCAAGGACCCTTCCCTGACAACCCCACAGCAACTGCTTAATTGAAAAAAATCACGCCCCTCATTCTCCTCTGTCTACCCTAGACTAATAGAAGGGTCCCAGTCTCCACTGGGCCCACTCCACAGGTTTGTCCTGAATATTGTAGCCCTGTGTTACTGTTGAGTTGCCTCTCCTCTTTATTCTCTTTATTCAGTTCCTTCCTTACAATACTATTTTCAATACTGGAGGTATTCGAAGAACAAAAAATCCAAGAGGGGGTGAGAGAGGTTGAAATGAAAATTGCTTTATTCAAGAAGATAGACTCAATTGCTTTCTTATTTCATAATCTAACTTTGATGATCCATTCAACAAGTCTGGCAAATCACCTACTAAACACAACACCTACTAAACACTTCTAAGTGGTTCACATCTGCTCTCAATACTCATTTCAGGTTGTTTTCAACAGTGATATGAGGTACACACTACACTAATTCCTGGGTCCTTTAAATGTAACAATCCTAAGAATATTCATGCTAGAGAGAATCCTGCCACTCTGTAGCATTAGCAAAGATCTCTAAAACCCTGATCAGCTTTCAAAAACAAAAAAGAAAAAAAAATCTTAAACATCGAATAAAAAGAAAATTCAATATGCCAATGTCCAATTTTTATTTAAAAGCAATATTAAACTAAATGAATGCCTACTTTTTATAAATAAAACTGAAAGCATGGTTAGATTCATGACTTCTTATGCAATGACTATTCTAAAGGATAATTCACTGAATCTTGAACCGGCCTTTCATCCATACTGACTCAGCACAGAACCTTACAGAGTTCCATGTTTAAAATTGAGCTACTGTTTGTTGCTTTTGTACTTCCCTTCCATCCTCCTTAAACTCTTGCAACTTCTATTCATGTCAACAAAATGAGTCAACAGGGAATAGACTCTTAAAATTTTGGGGATTCAAGAGGATTTTTATATCACAATTTTTAGCTTGACTTTAATAATTAGAATGTAAATTAAAAAAAAAAAAACAACAACAATAAGAGTTACTTCCTGGGCTGGGAACAGGGCTCAGTGGTAGAGCAGTGTCTAGCATTTGCAAGGCCCTGGTTTGATCTCCAGTGTGTGTGTCTATATATATATATTAAAGTTAGGAATAGTCTACAGTTTCCCAAACCAATCATTTAAGTTTCAAATGTCTAATTCTAACTTC